ATCCGACAACTGGCTATGGTGAGCATCATTCAGATCCTGCTAAACTACCAGCACGCAACACTCCAGTCCACAGACGTGGGTGCAGTTCTTGCCTCTTGGGTCCAGGTTCTGAGCTCACCACCTCATCTACTCTGGACGGTTGCCTTCACTTGCCAGAGTTATGGATAACTTTACCTACGAGTTGTGCCATATGTCACTCAGAACACTTTTGTCTGCAAGTATTAGGATGGCCACTCACACTCTCTTAATTGGGGCTGGTGCCACGGCTTACATATTGAGGATACTGAGCTGTAGGGCAAACTTCAGGGAGCGCTGGATCCAGAAGTCCCAATGTTCTTTGTCCCCACGCACTTTTCTGACCTCTGCTTGGTTTTGTTTATGAGCTTCACTGTCAGGTTGCTTCCTGCCAGGGGCATTTGTCAGCCACAAGTCTCCTGCACAGGAGGAAAGAGTCTTTGATTCTTGATGTTGAGCAGAAATTCCTGGTGGGATTGTGAACAGCCTGCTGGTAATAGAGGCCTTCTCCCCAGTCATCTCCAAGTCCTCCAATGATAGTCACCAATTCCAAGGTTATTTCAGGATTCAAGCTTATGAAAAAAAAAAAGGTTTCAAGATAAGCTTTGTGTGTGAAAGTACCTGAATATGTATTGAATGGAAAAGTCTTCAGAATAACCTTGGGCTGATGGAGTGGGCTCCCACATAGGGCTGAATGGCTGAACCTGGCTCCTTGGTGGGAACTGGGAAGCTGTGTCAGTGGTCTCCTGCTGCAGAGGCTCATTCTATCCCAGACGTCTGGGATGTAATTTGCGGATGCAGGCTGTGGGCTTCCCCTCTTCCCACTTGCTTCCTGAGACAGGATTCAGTTCCTGAATTGCTGAACTTGGGGATGCTATCAGAGAACCTGCAGAGACCGTCCACAGTCCACAGTCCACAGCCAAGGTTTCTATCACACAGACACTGGAGATACACAGTGATGAACACGCTCAGTCAAGCCTGAGGGACATCACTACCTAGCCCTCAGCAGCCTTTCCCTGGAAGATTCTGAATCTCAGTCGCCAGTGCCTCTTCCTTCAGGAGAAACAGGAGGGTGACTTTTCCTGTCTCCTTCCAGGAACCGAATCGGGCTTGGCCCTGAGGCTTGTGAACGGAGGTGACAGATGTCAGGGCCGGGTGGAGGTCCTGTACCGAGGCTCCTGGGGCACCGTGTGTGACGATAGCTGGGACATCACCGACGCCAGCGTGGTCTGCAGGCAGCTGGGCTGTGGCTGGGCCGTTTCAGCCCCAGGAAGTGCCCGGTTCGGGCAGGGCTCAGGGCCCATTGTCCTGGATGACGTGGGCTGCTCAGGGTACGAGACTTACCTGTGGAGCTGCTCCCACAACCCCTGGAACACACACAACTGTGGACACCATGAGGATGCCAGCGTCATCTGCTCAGGTTGGTTTCTATGACCTGCATTTTTGTGAGTGATTTTCTCCCAAACAAGAGCTCTTCTTTGCACTGGGCGCAATCACACTGAGCTTCCATGGAAGTTGGGTGGTTTCACTGACTCCATCATTGATAGATGTCAGTCCCGGATTTCATGGATCCACTGCAGCCCCTTCTGTATTGGACCCCCAGAGCAGGGGTGTGATTATAGGTTGGGAGAGCAAATTCCCCTCAGACTTTTTTAAATTGTGGAGTCTGATGTCTGACCTTGATATTTCATATTCATTTCTCCTGGACAATACCCAGGCCGTTTTTTTTTCAGGCCATGGAGGGTCTGGGCACTCAGCGTCTCTCTCTCAGGGACCTGATGGGTTTTTTGCATTCCAACCTGGGTGCTCAGGCTAACCATGCTTCCTCCTTCTTGCAGCTGCACAGATCACCTCCCCTTCTCCAGGTGAGTCCCTGCAGTCCCACCCAGCCACACCCCCCTCTGGGATTCCGCCCTTCAGTTTTCCAGAAGGAGAAGAACAGCAGCTACCTGGCTAGTCATTTCCCTCTGAGGACTCTGGAGGCTGTCTGTCAGGGAATGTTTAACAGTAAGACTCCTGTGCGCTGTTTCCTATCTCTCTTGAGCCCTCTGTTCCTCATCAGTTCCTGTCAGGAGGGAGAGGAGCAGATAAGCCACTCCCAGGACTGAGATCTCTGTGATGGGATGCTTGTATAGGATTTCCTTCATTAGCTTTTCCATATGCTGAAAGGGATTATCTGTGACCCTCTTTTGATATGGGTTGCCTTTTGGCATTGTGGCCTCTATTGCTCCTTGTTTCCTTGGTAACTTAATTTCTGGTCTTTTGATCTTTATCTGAAGAAGCTACCTTGTAAAACGGTATGTATACTCACACAAAATTCAATAAAGCACCCTTGTTCCACCANTGGCCTCTATTGCTCCTTGTTTCCTTGGTAACTTAATTTCTGGTCTTTTGATCTTTATCTGAAGAAGCTACCTTGTAAAACGGTATGTATACTCACACAAAATTCAATAAAGCACCCTTGTTCCACCAGACTGGGGTCCCCATGTCCTTCCTTCTCTCTCTCTCTCTCTATTTCTGGCTGATTCCCTGGAGCGCGAAGGCTGGCTGCGTAACCCAGGGAATATTAGCCTTTTTCCTTCTTTCACTTTCTTATCGTCAACTCTGGACCACCAGGTTCTGGTCCATTAAAGGACCCCAACAAGTGGTGGCCAGAACAGGGGCCTGGTATACGCGGCACTTTGGACGGAGTGACTCAGGGCCTATTGAGGCCGGTAAATACAAGGCCATGGGTCAAATGGCTGGAGAGCCCCCTCACTTTTCTACTTTACTTCGTCATTTATTTAAAATTCAGGGGCTTTCAGTTTCGCGCTGAGTAGAGGCTTGCCTTCAAACAATAGTTGAACATAATCCCTGGTTCCCTGATGAAGGCAGTTTTGATTTAGAAATTTGGCACTAGGTCAAAGAGAATGTTGAACGAGCCGCCAGACGGGGAAAAAATATTCCAATTTATTTCTGGCCCCTGTGGGCTCTCATTAAAGCTATAATTCCGCCATTTCAAGGCAATTCTCACCCTCCCGATATTCGACAACAGACAGAACACTTATTCCATGAATATGAATTAGATGATGAAACTTTACAAAAGACCCAATTAGAACAACATTAAGTATTTCAGAATTTTCCTGCAAGCCCTGCCCCGGCTGCTCCAAATGCTCCTCCTCTGCCAACAGGCGCGAATCCAAAAGTCTCTCCTTTGCTAGAACCTAATGATTCTGACGACTCTCTGGAGATACTTTTTGACGCCAAAACTGGCAATACTTTTCTGGATAATAATGATAAGTCCTTATCACAAACTCATATTTGCAAAAAATTGCTACCTACTCACTCTCCTTCTTGACAGAGGCTCTTTGAATTCCTGGCTTTGCAATTACAAGTCTCTGAAGCCGATGGTTTTTCTGCCTTCCCAGTTTTAAGAAATGCTAACTCTCAAGGGCAAATAATACCTCAGTATGAAGGTATTAACTTTTTTCACATGCAACAAATGAAAAAGTCTGTAAATATGTATGGCCCACATTCGCCTTTTACTAGAGAAATTCTAAATGCTATGGTGTCTTCTATTGGAACCTTTATTCCCTATGATTGGCGAACTTTAATAAAAGCTCTCCTTAAACCAGGAGAATATCTTCAATGGACAATGTGGTTTTAAGATATAGCCAGAGATCATGCTAACAAAAACACTCGAGCTGGTGCTCCCCCAAATCAAATTACTTTTGAAATGTTAACTGCCACGGGCAATTTGATGCTATAGAAGCTCAAATACAGTGCCCTCCTTTGTTGCATGAACAATTAAAAACAGTGGCCCTTGAAGCTTGGGATAGAATTACTCCTCAAGGGGAACCTACAGGTAGCTACACTAAAATATTACAAGGACCTAATGAAACTTATGCTGACTTTTTAGCTAGATTAGAAACTGCTATTTCCCATACTATAATCGGAGAAAAACCTAAAAGGCAATTAGAGAAATAAAGGCAATTAGAGAAATTAACTTGCTTATGAAAATGCAAATCAGGAATGTCAAAAGGCTATAGCCCCAATTCGTGAGACAGGGACTATTATTGATTATTTGAAGGCTTGTCGCAATCTAGGATCAGAAACTCAAAAACTGCAAATGCCACCTGAAACAATGGCTGCTTGCTTTAAAAAGGGAAATGAGGGATGTTTTATATGCTGGGATAAGAACCATTTAAAAAGGGATTGCCCTAAGAAAGCTAATAAAAAACCTCCAAAAGTCTGCCCCCACAAACCTTCGGTCTTTTACTTGGCTGATCCAGTTTGATTTCTAAAGGAATTACTGTTCACCCTGGAGTAATTGATTCAGATTATAAAGGAGAAATTCAAATTGTGATGTCATCTAAGATTTTATGGCAATTCAAAAGGGGGGACAAAATTGCTCAATTACTTCTTTTACCCTATATTTCTATTAACTCCTCTAATGATGTACGGACAGGCAGATTCGGCAGTACAGATCAAAAACACAATCATATTTCATACAAGCTTATATTCCCCTTCCTTTTGTTTTAGCCATAGGAAACTTACAATTCAATAAGACTTTACATTCTGTAACTTGTGTAAATTGCAAATTGTATACCTGTCTTAACTCTTCTATTTCCTTAAGAAATGAATTCGTTTTGATTCTTCAATCTCGACATAATTTGTGGTTACCAGTAAATCTCCCATGGCCCTGGGAAGAAGGTCCCATGGCCGGGCTTGCTTCCCAGTTACTTATTAAATTACTCCGATGATCTGAATGATTCATTGGATGGCTGATTCTTGGCATTTGGGGATTAACAGCTATTTGCACCACTGCTGCCATCACTGGCGTTGCTTTACAAACCTCAATTTAAACACATAATTTTATCCAAGATTGGACTAAAGATGCTCACACTATGTGGGCCACTTAGGCTCAGATAGATGAGGATATTCAAAATGACATACAGGAACTAAAAACAGCCATCAAATGGGTTGAAGATCAATTAATAGATGTACAAAAAGAAGTGATACCAAAATGTGATTGGAATTCTACTCAATTTTGTGTTACTCCTTTTCAATTCAATCATAGTGCCTATAACTGGGAGCAAGTCAAATTTCATTTACAAAATATACTTGATAATGCCTCTCTGAATGTACAATTATTGCACAAAGAAATCTTTGAAACCTTCTCTAAAAGTCTGCCCTTATCCAGCAATATGGAAATTTTATCTGACCAACTACCTGATCAATTATCTGGGTTAGACCCACAAAGATGGTTTCAAAGCATCACCCACAGCATCGGGTCTGGAACTGTAACTCTGGCAATTGTCTTGGCAATTATATTTGTTGTTTACCATTGCCTTTCTGCAAAAATTGTTAAAACTAAATAAATTCAAATGGTCGGGACATTTTTTTACAAATATAATAAAATAGGGGGAATTGTCAGGGAATGTTTAACAGTAGGATTCCTGTGTGCTGTTTCCTATCTCTCTTGAGCCCTCTGTTCCTCATCAGTTCCTGTCAGGAGCGAGAGGGGCAGATAAGCCGCTCCCAGGACTGAGATCTCTGTGATGGGATGCTTGCATAGGATTTCCTTCATTAGCTTTTCCATATGCTGAAAGGGATTATCTATGACCCACTTTTGATATGGGTTGCCTTATGGCCTGTGGCTTCTATTGCTCCTTGTTTCCTTGGTAACTTGTAATTTCTGGTCTTTTGATCTTTATCTGAAGAAGCTACCTTGTAAAACGGTATGTATACTCACACAAAATTCAATAAAGCACCCTTGTTCCACCAGAGACTTGGGTCCCCATGTCCTTCCTTCTCTCTCTCTCTCTTTCTGGCTGATTCCCTGGAGCATGAAGGATGGCTGCGTAACCCAGGGAATATTAGCCTCTTTCCTTCTTTCACTTTCCTATCGTTGGCTCCGGACCACCAGGTTCTGGTCCATTAAAGGACCCCAACGCTGTCCGGTGACCAGTGGAATCCCCAGGACCAGGGCTGTCACTCAGCTGTCCCTGGAGGGGCCTCTGGTCCCCCGCCACCTCCTGCTGCCTGTGCCTGTTCAGAGCTGCTGTGAGGGGAGACAGGATTAGGACCTGTGATCATTTCTATGAAAATAAGTGTACCAGTCATGCCATGCAGAGCTATGACCATGTTGGAAGGATGACCGAGTAGCAGACTCACAAATGTCTGTCTGTTAAAAAATTCCTTCATGTTGAAAGCAATTCCCAAAAGGATCCTTAGGCTACAGTGTTAATATCTGCTGCTGAATAAGCTGGGAACTTCTCTCTACTTAGCACATGTGGCCAGTTACACTGTAGGTGGGAATAGTCAAGGTTCTGAGATGACCTTATTAGGACAAGGATTTACTTTCTCTGCCAAAATGATGACCATGGAATTTAAAAATTTTCAGCAGCATCCTAAAATCACTTGGTTTTCTTTCTAGATTGGCGGCCCGCAACAAGTACAGCCGCTCTGAGTAAGTAACACATTTTTCCACCTGACCCACAGGCCTGGGGATTCATTCCAATTCAGAGACATGGGTGCAGTTCTTCCTCTTGGGTCCAGGTTCTGAGCTCACCTCATCTACTCTGGACAGTTGCCTTCACTTGCCAGAGTTATGGATAACTTTACCTATGAGTTGTGGCCTGTGTCACTCAGAACGCTTTTGTCTGCAAGTATTAGGATGGCCACTCACACTCTCTTAATTGGGGCTGGTGCCACGGCTTACATATCGAGGATACTGAGCTATATAGGGCAACCTTCAGGGAGCGCTGGATCCAGAAGTCCCAATGTTCTTTGTCCTCACGCACTTTTCTGACCTCTGCTTGGTTTTGTTTATGAGCTTCACCGTCAGGTTGCTTCCTGCCAGGGGCACTTGTCAGCCGCAAGTCTCCTGCCACAGAGGCGAGAGTCTTTGGTTCTCGATGTTGAGCAGAAATTCCTGGCAGGACTGTGAACAGCCTGTTGGTAATAGGTGACTTCTCCCCAGTCGTCTCCAAGTCCTCCAATGATAGTCACCAATTCCAAGGTTATTTCAAGATTCAAGCTTAAAAAAAAAAAGATACAAGATAAGCTTTGTGTGTGAAAGTGACCTGAATATGTATGAATGGATAAGTCTCCAGAATAACCTTGGGCTGAAGGAGTGGGTTCCCACGTAGGGGTGAAAGGCCGAACTCGGCACCTTAGTGGGAACTGGGAAGCTGTGTCAGTGGTCTCCTGCTGCAGAGCCTCATTCTATTCCAGAGATCTGGGATGCAGGCTGTGGGCTTCCCCTCTTCCCACCTGCATCCTGAGACAAGATTCAGCCCCTGAATTGCTGAATTTGGGGATGCCATCAGAGAACCTACAGAGCTAGTCCACAGTCCACAGTCAAGTTTTCTATCACACAGACACTGGAGATAAACAGTGATGAACACGCTCAGTCAAGTCCTTATGGACATCAATAACCTAGACCTCAGCAGTCTTTCGCTGGAAGAAATCTGAATCTAGGTCCGAAGCACCTTTTCCTTCAAGAGAAACAGGAGGGTGACTTTTCCTGTCTCCTTCCAGGAACCGAATCGGGTTTGGCCTTAAGGCTGGTGAACGGAGGTGACAGGTGTCAGGGCCGGGTGGAGGTCCTCTACGGAGGCTCCTGGGGCACCGTGTGTGACGACAGCTGGGACACCAACGATGCCAACGTGGTCTGCAGGCAGCTGGGCTGTGGCTGGGCCATTTCAGCCCCAGGAAGTGCCCGGTTCGGGCAGGGCTCAGGGCCCATTGTCCTGGATGAAGTGGGCTGCTCGGGGCATGAGACGTACCTGTGGAGCTGCTCCCACAACCCCTGGAACACACACAACTGCCAACACAGCGAGGACGCCAGCGTCATCTGCTCGGGTGGGTCTCAAACAAGCTGGGGATGCTTCTCTGCGTGTGGTTTCTTGCTTACTTTCTGATCCCCTTAAGAAGAATTCTCTACGTTTCCCTTTTCCTTGAAATCCTCTAGTGCTTTGATATTTAGTATAATAGATTTTGTCTGGCCCTCGGGAATGTAGATGCACAATTAGAACAGAAACACAAACTGAAAGTGACATTATGCCTTCTGCTCCATGCCACATGCAAACCAAGGCAAAAGAGAGCAGGTCTGCCAGGAGGTCTCTGAGCAGAGGTCATGGGCTGCGGCTGCCGGTGGCCCCGGTTCTGCCTCCTGAGTCCTGGACCGTGGCCCCTCCAAGGAACTGGGAAGCACGGTCTGCGCACCAGGACTGCTCTGAGCAGGGCAGTGGCCCTGTGTGACCTGCCAGACCCTGCCTTGTCATCCTCTAAGGTCGAGCCTGACCGATCACACATTCGACTTGACCTGGAGCTGGAGCCCTGTCTCACTGCGTCAGTGGATCCATAAAAACTGGGAGCCTGGCGATTGATTCTGTATCCACTGTGTCATCAAGACACAGAGTCAATCACCTTGACTTTGGAAATAAGGGGTGCTGGTCTGCTGGGACCTCTCAGCAGGAGACTCTTTGGAGGGTTGAGGATGGCAGAGGCCCCGCACTCCACGGCAGAGTGGTTGCACGGACTGACACCTCAGCTGCTCTGCATCTCAGCATCCCCCCTTTGACCCTGTGAAGCCCCTTCTGTGCACCTTGTCTGACCTGCCTTCTCTCTCCCCCAGCTGCCCAGACCCAGACCACGGCTGTGCCAGGTGAGTCCTGCTGCCTCTCGACTCCGGGATATTCCCTCCCCTTGAGCAACCCCCAGGGCCCCCAACCAGTAGCCCCAGGAGGGGACTGAGGAGGTTTTCCACCTCTCAGTACCTGTCCTGGTCACTCTAGAGCACGTAAATGGTTCCAGATGAGCCATAACACAGGCATCCTCTGGCCTGGCTCAGTGATTTCCGGACTTCCTGGCTACACAGTGTCTCCCCAGAGTTTTGGGTGACAGGGTGGTCTGTCCTGGGGTCATTTCTGTTTGAGTGAATTCTCTGGACCAAGAGCTATGTGTATGAAGAGGACAGAACTTTTTCCTGTCCTCAACCCCAGATGGAGTCTAGGTGATGCTATTACCAAGAAGTACCCAGTCAGCAGGGCATGGTGATGGCTCTGTGGGCTGTGCCACCTCCTCAGATGAGTGTGTACCCTTGATGACATGATCTGGGCTCACAGAAAACTCACAGAAAACGCTTCTTCTCCCCAGACCATGGCGTCCCTCAGGTCCCACTGTCCTGATCCCGACCATACGAACTAGACCAACCTTGATTCTACTAACCTTCATTGTAATCCTGCTTTGTTTTCCCTCCAGACTGGTGGTATCCGACAACTAATTACGGTGAGCGTCACTTGGATGCTGCCGAACTCTCAGTGTTCAATGTCTAAATCTTGGCTTAAAGCTCTGTGTTCACCACCTCATTCAATGTCAGGGATTCCCTCTGCTCATCAGAACTGAGGATGGCCTTCACCTATCCATTAGAGAATGTATTAAATAGGCTGTTTCAGTTTCGTAGGATTTCAACTGACACTCAAGGTGGACTAGGACCTAGTGACGTTCATGTCTAAGACATTTAGTCCTAGTTCTGTCTTCAGGTACAGCTGGATGCAGAGGTTCCAGGACTCCCTGTCTTAACCACTTTTTATACCTCTGATTTTTATGTGTTTGGGCTTCACTCTAACTTTACTTCCTGTGATGAAGGCAGGGGTCAGCCCCAAGTCTACATCCCAACAGCAAGAAAGAGCCTCTTTGTTCTAGACCTTCAGCTGACAAGTCCTGGAGAGACTGGCAGACTCAGGTTCTTCCTCCTGAGTCCTGGACCGTGGCCCCTCCAAGGAACTGGGAAGCACGGTCTGGGTACCAGGTCTGTGTGAGCAGGGCAGTGGGCCCTGTGTGACCTGCCAGGCACCAACTTGTCATCCCCTAAGGCCGAGGCTGACAGATCACACTCGGGACTTGACCTGGAGCTGGAGCCCTGTCTCACTGCCTCACTGCCTCACTGGATCCATAAAAGCTGTGAGGCTGACGATTGGCTTCGGGTCCACTCTGTCACCAAGACATAGAGTCAGTTACCTTGATATTGGAAATAAGAGATGCTGGTCTGCTGGAACATCTCAGGAGGAGCCTCTCTGCAGGGTTGAGGATGGCAGAGGCCCCTCCCTCCATGGCAGAGTGGGTGCCTGGACTGACACCTCAGCTGCTCTGCAGCTTAGCATCGCCCCCTCGACCCACGTGAAGCCCCTTCTGTGCACTGTGTCTGACCTGCCTTCTCTCTCCTCCAGCTACCCAGACCCAGACCACAGCTGTGCCAGGTGAGTCCTGCTGCCTCTCGACTCCGGGATGCCCCTCCCCCACAGTCACCCCCAGGGACCCCATTCAGCAGCCCCAGGAGGCGACTGAGGAGGTTTTCCACCTCTCAGCACCTGCCGTGGTCACTCTGGACCACAAAGAGTTCCAGATGAGCCGTAACACTGGCATCCTCTGGACTGGCAGTGTGATTTCAGGACTTCCTGGCTACATAGTGTCTCCCCAGAGCTTTGGGTAACAGGGTGGTCTGTCTTGGGGTCACTTCTGCTTGAACATATTCTCTGGACCAAGAGCTATGTGTATGAAGAGGACAGAACTTTTTCCTGTCCTCAACCCCAGATGGAGTCTAGGCGATGCTATTACCAAGAAGTACCCAGTCAGCAGGGCATGGTGATGGCTCTGTGGGCTGTGCCACCTCCTCAGATGAGTGTGTACCTTTGATGACATGATCTGGGCTCACAGCAAACTCTCAGAAAAGACCTCTGTGTCCCCCAGACCGTGGAGCTTCTCAGACCCCACTGTCCTGATCCCAGGACAGGTTATTAGACCAACCTTGGTTCTACCGACCTTCTTTGTAATCCTGCTNTTCCTGTCCTTCACCCCAGATGGAGTCTAGGCGATGCTATTACCAAGAAGTACCCAGTCAGCAGGGCATGGTGATGGCTCTGTGGGCTGTGCCACCTCCTCAGATGAGTGTGTACCTTTGATGACATGATCTGGGCTCACAGCAAACTCTCAGAAAAGACCTCTGTGTCCCCCAGACCGTGGAGCTTCTCAGACCCCACTGTCCTGATCCCAGGACAGGTTATTAGACCAACCTTGGTTCTACTGACCTTCTTTGTAATCCTGCTTTGTTTCCCCTCCAGACTGGTGGTATCCGACAACTGGCTATGGTGAGCATCATTCAGATCCTGCTAAACTACCAGCACGCAACACTCCAGTCCACAGACGTGGGTGCAGTTCTTGCCTCTTGGGTCCAGGTTCTGAGCTCACCACCTCATCTACTCTGGACGGTTGCCTTCACTTGCCAGAGTTATGGATAACTTTACCTACGAGTTGTGCCATATGTCACTCAGAACACTTTTGTCTGCAAGTATTAGGATGGCCACTCACACTCTCTTAATTGGGGCTGGTGCCACGGCTTACATATTGAGGATACTGAGCTGTAGGGCAAACTTCAGGGAGCGCTGGATCCAGAAGTCCCAATGTTCTTTGTCCCCACGCACTTTTCTGACCTCTGCTTGGTTTTGTTTATGAGCTTCACTGTCAGGTTGCTTCCTGCCAGGGGCATTTGTCAGCCACAAGTCTCCTGCACAGGAGGAAAGAGTCTTTGATTCTTGATGTTGAGCAAAAGTCCTGGAGTGGTTGTAAATAGCCTGCTGGTAATAGGGGCCTTCTCTCCAGTCATCTCCAAGTCCTCCAATGATAGTCACCAATTCCAGGGTTATTTCAGGATTCAAGCTTAAAAAAAAAAATCAAGCTACACATTTTGTATGAGTATCTGAATACGTATTGAATGGAAAAGTCTTCAGAATAACCTTGGGCTGATGGAGTGGGCTCCCACATAGGGCTGAATGGCTGAACCTGGCTCCTTGGTGGGAACTGGGAAGCTGTGTCAGTGGTCTCCTGCTGCAGAGGCTCATTCTATCCCAGACGTCTGGGATGTAATTTGCGGATGCAGGCTGTGGGCTTCCCCTCTTCCCACTTGCTTCCTGAGACAGGATTCAGTTCCTGAATTGCTGAACTTGGGGATGCTATCAGAGAACCTGCAGAGACCGTCCACAGTCCACAGTCCACAGCCAAGGTTTCTATCACACAGACACTGGAGATACACAGTGATGAACACGCTCAGTCAAGCCTGAGGGACATCACTACCTAGCCCTCAGCAGCCTTTCCCTGGAAGATTCTGAATCTCAGTCGCCAGTGCCTCTTCCTTCAGGAGAAACAGGAGGGTGACTTTTCCTGTCTCCTTCCAGGAACCGAATCGGGCTTGGCCCTGAGGCTTGTGAACGGAGGTGACAGATGTCAGGGCCGGGTGGAGGTCCTGTACCGAGGCTCCTGGGGCACCGTGTGTGACGATAGTTGGGACATCACCGACGCCAGCGTGGTCTGCAGGCAGCTGGGCTGTGGCTGGGCCGTTTCAGCCCCAGGAAGTGCCCGGTTCGGGCAGGGCTCAGGGCCCATTGTCCTGGATGACGTGGGCTGCTCAGGGTACGAGACTTACCTGTGGAGCTGCTCCCACAACCCCTGGAACACACACAACTGTGGACACCACGAGGACGCCAGCGTCATCTGCTCAGGTTGGTTTCTATGACCTGCATTTTTGTGATTGATTTTCTCCCAAACAAGAGCTCTTCTTTGCAGTGGGCTCAATCACACTGAGCTTCCATGGAAGTTGGGTGGTTTCACTGACTCCATCATTGATAGATGTCAGTCCTGGATTTCATGGATCCACTGCAGCCCCTTCTGTATTGGACCCCTAGAGCAGGGTGGTGTTTTCAGATTGTAAGAGCAAATTCCCCTCAGACTTTTTTCAGTTGTGGAGACTGATGTCTGAGCTTGATATTTCATATTCAGCTCTCCTGGACAAATCCCGGGCTGCCCTTTTCAGGCCATGGAAGGATGGGCACTCAGCAGTTCTCTCAGGGACCTGATGGGTGTCTTGCTTTGAACCTGGGTGCTGAGGCTGATCATGCTTCCTCTTTGTTGCAGCTGCACAGATCAACTCCTCAACTCCAGGTGAGTTCTGGCTGCCCCACGCAGTGAGACTCCTCTCTGGGATTCCACTTCTCAGGTTTCTAGAAGAAGAACACCCTCTTCCTAGGGACTCATTTCCCTCGGAGGACTCTGGAGGCTCTCCAGTGACCAGTGGAATCCCCAGGGCCAGGGCTGTCACTCGGCTGTCCCTGGAGGGACCTCTGGTCCCCTGCCACCTCCTGCTGCCAGTATCTGCTCAGAGCTGCTATGAGGGGAAGCAGGATTAGATCCTCTGATCATTTCTATGAAAATAAGTATCCGAGTCATGCCATGCAGAACTGTGACCACTTTAGAACCATGACCAAGCAGCAGACTCGCAAGTATCTATCCATTAAAAAATTTCTTCAGTTCAAAGCACTTTCCAAAATGATCTTTTCCCACAGTATAATATCTACTCCTGAATCAGGTGGGAACTTCTTTCTATGTGCTTAGTCCATGTGGCCAGTAACACTGTAGGTGGAAATAGTCAAGGTTCTGAGACATCCTTATTAGGACAAGGATTTCCTTTCTCCACCAATATGATGACCATGGACTTTAAAATTATTCAGCAACATCCTAAAATCACTTCCTTTTCTTTCTAGACTGGTGGCCCCCAACAACTACAACCACTCAGAGTAAGTAACACATATTTCCACCTGACCCACAGGCCTTGGGTTTCCTCTTCCCAGGCTTGGCTGCTGGTACCGGGCTGTAGTCAAGGTGCTCACTCTCCAATGAGTTCACCTCTCCTGCCTGTCCTGCCACATGATGTCCCCGCAGCTGATGTCCCAACCCCAAGAGGGTTGGGCCTCTCTCCTGCTCTTCTTTGTCTTTTACTAGTCTGATCAGGATGAGATTCCTACATCTAGTCAGTCTCCAGATAATGCTGACCACCTGTTTAGGTCCAACTCCTCGGCTGGGACACCAGTCCCAGCAAAAGGTCCCAACAGCCTGCCTCTGGGTTGCCATGAACCACTGCTCACTACCCCACCCTGCTTCTAGATCTTTCCTCTGCATCACCATCCTTCCCTCCTCACCACGGGCTGCTTACAGCAGCAGCTGCTTTAAGCTTCCCCATCCCCGTGATCCATTCTATCAATGATGGTGGTCTTCATCCAATGGCAAGGTCAATCCCTCACATTGAGGAGGGGACATCAAGTTTGTAAGAGCGAAATTGCCCAAATATTTGCTGCTGTTTGTGAAGAATGATACGTGAGATTGATGTTTCCTATTCAGCTCCCTAGTGCAACTCCTAGGCCTCCCTTCTCTGGCCATGAAGAGGCCGGGCACTCAGCATCTCTCTCAGGAAACTGATGGGTTCATTGCAGCCCATCGTGGATGCTGAAGTTGATCATGCTTCCTCTTTCTTGCAGGACCAGGAATCAACTTCTCCACTCCAGGTGAGTCCCGGCAGCCCCACCCAGCCAGGTGTGTCTCTGGGATTCCACCCTATCAGGTTTCCAGAAGGAGAAGAGCAGACGCCACCTGGGGAGTCATGTCTCTCTGAGGACTCGAGTCTGTTCAGTGACCTGCCAAGTCCCCAGGACCACGGCTGTCACTCAGCTCTCCCTGGAGAGACCTCTGGTCCCCTGCCACATCCCGCTGCCTGTGCCTGTTCAGTGTGAGAGAGAGGACTGGGACCTCTGATCACTTCTGTGAAAATAAGTGTCCCGCTCATGCCATGCAGAACTGTGACCATTCTCAAAACCATTTTCAAAAGCAGCCTTACAGACCTTCATCTGTTAAATACTCCTGCACGTTGAGAATAACCCCCAAATGATCTTTGCGGCGCCTTGAAAACACCTGGTGCCCAAGATGGAAAGGCGTGCTGCTGCGGACGCCCGTCCTTTAGGCCAGTCTCCGTGTAGGTGGGAACGGTCAAGGCTCTGAGAAGTCCTGCAGGGGGGAAAAGGACTTCCTGAGGACACTCATCCGGAGGACGATCTCTTGTCCCAGCACCCCCGGAGACCCACCACAACGGGGATGTTCCTCTCTCTCCGCTCTGCAGGCTCCTTTCCAGGTTGTGGCGGCTTCTTCTTCAGTGCCAGTGGGAACTTTTCCAGCCCATTCTACCCTGGATACTACCCCAACAATGCCAACTGTGTCTGGGAAATACAAGTGAACCCCGGCTACCTCATAAACCTGGGCTTCGACAGTCTGCAGTAAGTAACCCCCAGGCCACCTGGAGAAGGAGGCGTCTTCCATGGACCACCCTGTGGTTTGAGTGGGGTCCTGGGCTGGGAGGCTTTCCCCTCTCAGGTCCCATGGACTACATTTCAGGTTTCTCTGATCCCCACCAGGAAGTATCAGTCTCGATACTGGGCAGTCCCTTGATCTGATTAAGGAAGAGCAAGAAGAAGATCTTAGATTCAAGGGCATTTCTCATAAAGTCCAAAATATCTACAAAGTTTATGAGCAGCGGACATTCTGATGTTGACATGAATCCCCTTTTCCATACAGGTTGGAGACACACAGTAGCTGCAGTTATGACTATGTTGAAATCCTTAATGGACCACTGAGCAGCAATGCCTCAGCGAGGAGAATCTGTCGTTACACCAGGGAAATATTCACTTCTCATTCCAACCGACTGACTGTTCGATTTCGGAGTGACGGCAGTGTCCCAAACACTGGTTTTTCTGCTTGGTATAACTCCTTTCCAAGAGGTGAGTACAAGGCATAGAGAAAAGATCCGTGGTTACCAAGAGGATGGGGTTTGGGGATTGGGTGGATGCGGATTTGGGGATTAGCAGGTGCAAACTACTACATATCAAGTGGATGAGCAAGGTCCCAGTGTAGAGAACCGGGAGCTCTATTCTGTGACCTGTGATAAACCGTGTGGAAAGAATATGGAAGTGGATACGGAAAAGAATACATCTGGAGAATGAGGGATCTGAGCTCTGTGATGTCAGGAGCTCCTTCCAGGTGGATCGTGTAGCTGTTCACTCACTGATCAGTGTCACTGGGTGGCTTTTGGGATGGGGAAAGAACCAGGGGTTAATTGGCTTTGGGTGTTTGCTGGGGGATGGGGTCATCACCTCTTACAGCGTGTGTCTTTCAGACGTCAGCTTGAGATTGGTGAATTGGAACTCCTCCCGTCCCACATGTGCTGGGCGTGTGGAAATCTACCATGGTGGCCAGTGGGGAACAGTGTGTGATGACAACTGGGACATTCAAGATGCCCAGGTGGTGTGCAGACAGCTGGGCTGTGGATCTGCAGTCTCAGCCCCAGGAAATGCCTACTTTGGCTCTGGCTCTGGCCCCATCACCTTGGACGACGTGGCGTGCTCAGGGGCAGAGGCTAACCTCTGGCAGTGCCGGAACCGAGGCTGGTTCTCCCACAATTGTGGCCACTATGAAGATGCTGGAGTCATTTGCTCAGGTATTGGGTGATGTCGTATGTGGAAGGCTCCTTTCACCTCGGGGCTTTTGGAAACTGGAGCAGTGGAAACTGGAGGCCAGTGACTGATGGTGTCTGTGGCTAGTTCAGGGCGTGGCGGTGGGCAGGAGCTTGTCAGAGTTCCCCTTGACCTGTGCACTCCAGGAGACCTTGCAGAGGCCACTTGATCTCTGGTCCTGTGCTGAACACTCAGCTGGTATCCAGCTTATCATTATTCTCCCATTTGCTTTATGGGCTTCCCTCATGGGTCAGAGGGTAAATCTTTCAGACGTCAGCTTGAGATTGGTGAATTGGAACTCCTCCCGTCCCACATGTGCTGGGCGTGTGGAAATCTACCATGGTGGCCAGTGGGGAACAGTGTGTGATGACAACTGGGACATTCAAGATGCCCAGGTGGTGTGCAGACAGCTGGGCTGTGGATCTGCAGTCTCAGCCCCAGGAAATGCCTACTTTGGCTCTGGCTCTGGCCCCATCACCTTGGACGACGTGGCGTGCTCAGGGGCAGAGGCTAACCTCTGGCAGTGCCGGAACCGAGGCTGGTTCTCCCACAATTGTGGCCACTATGAAGATGCTGGAGTCATTTGCTCAGGTATTGGGTGATGTCGTATGTGGAAGGCTCCTTTCACCTCGGGGCTTTTGGAAACTGGAGCAGTGGAAACTGGAGGCCAGTGACTGATGGTGTCTGTGGCTAGTTCAGGGCGTGGCGGTGGGCAGGAGCTTGTCAGAGTTCCCCTTGACCTGTGCACTCCAGGAGACCTTGCAGAGGCCACTTGATCTCTGGTCCTGTGCTGAACACTCAGCTGGTATCCAGCTTATCATTATTCTCCCATTTGCTTTATGGGCTTCCCTCATGGGTCAGAGGGTAAAGAATTCACCTAAAGCAGAAGATGCTGGTTTGATCCCTGCGTCTGCTATATTCCCTGGAGAAGGAAATGCAACCCACTCCAGTATTCTTGCCTGGAGAATCCCATGTTCAGAGGAGCCAGGCAGGCTACAGTCCAGGGGGCCCCTAAAGTGTCTGAGATGAGTTAGCCTCTAAGCAATAACAACTTGGTGCTGAGGCTGATCATGCTTCCTCTTTCTTGCAGATGCACAGATCAACTCCTCCACTCCACGTGAGTCCATGCAGCCCCACTCAGCCAGATTCCTCTCTGGGATTCTGCCTCTCAGGTTTCCAATAGAAGAACAGCCTCCTCCAGGGGAATCATTTCCCTCCGAGGACTCTGGAGGCTGTTCAGTGACCAGCTGAGTCCCTAAGACCTGGGCTGTCACTCAGGTCTCCCTGGAGGGACCTCTGGTTCCCTGTCACTTCCTGGGGTCTGTGCTGATACAGTTGGCTGTGGGAGGGGAGACGATTAGGCCCTCTGATCATTTCTATGAAAATAAGTGTCCCATTCATGCCATGCAGAATTGTGACCATCATAGAACCATGACCGAATAGCAGCCCTACAGAGGTTTATCTGTTAAATAATCCTTCATGTTGAGAGCAATTCCCCAAATGGTCTTTATGACACAAGGAAAATATCTGGTGCAAATATGTTTGGATGTGCTGTGTTCTCTAACTACTTTTTACTAGACACAGTGCAAATTGGTATAATAAAGTCTCTTGGAAGTCCTGAGTAAGGAGAACGATTTATTTTCTCCATCAAACTCTTGAGTATGAAATTAAAAAATGATCCAGCAATATCCTAAAATCACTTGCTTTTCTTTCTAGATTGGCAGCCCCCAACAACTACAACCACTCAGAGTAAGTATCGCATTTTCCCACCTGACCCGCAGGCCTTGGGTTTCCTCTCCCCGGTTAGGGTTAGGGTTAGGGTTTGGGTTTTGGGTTTAGGGTTAGGGTTAGGGTTAGGGTTAGGCTTGGCTGCCGGTCTCCGGGCTGCAGTCCCGGCACTCAGTCTCCAGTGAGGTCTCCGCTCCTGACTCTCCTGCCACATGGCGTCTCTGCAGCTGATGTCCCAACCCCAGGAGGGCTGGGCCTCTCTCCAGGCTCTTATTGTCCTTTAATCAGCTGGTCATCCTAAGATTTGGATCTCTGGTCAGTGTCTAGGTGAAGTCTCCCACTGTGTGGGCCCTGCCCTCCTCTGGGACATTAGTCCCAGGTCAGTGCAGCCTGGGTGGATCTTGGTATGTAATCAGCAAAAGTTCCCAATAGCCTGCTTCAGAGTGGCTGTTAAACTGCTCCTATTGTGCCAGCTACTCTCATACCTAGGTTCCTTCACACATGCTGTTCCCTCTGCCTGGAACACCCTTCCAACCTTTTTGCCTCACCTCCCTGTGTACCCGTCCCCTTTCCCTCCTCAGTCTGGACCAGGAGCCAAATCTTCCAGCTCCTAGCAACTCCTGGGCTCTGCTCCATCACAGTCCCATCCCAGGAGGCTGGGATTTGCTCTTTTCCATCCTCTTCTTTAGGCTGTGAGCTCCCAGAGGGCAAGTCCCGCAGCTGGCATCTCGCTGGGAACTTGGGGTTGGCATATTTCCAGTGCAGAGCTAACAAGCACTCAGCAGCTGAACCAAGGGTGCCAGAAAACTGATCACTATCTTTTCTGTTTGTCAACAGATCCTGTTTACAACCTCACCGGCCCAGCCAGTAAGTTCTGAGCCCCCCGACCAGTCCCCCTTCCCTTCGCCTCGATGACGGTGACGCTGGGGAGGGACGAGAACAGTGAGGAGGCGGCTTCCCTAAGTACGGCTTCTCTGTAGGGTCACCGCGGTGACCCTCAGTATGTAGTCCAGGTGTAGGCACCTCCTGGCGGGATTCCCCCACGTGACTGTGCAGTGGACCCTGAGGCTCATCGGCATTTCTCCCTTTGTCCCAGCAGCAAATTATTCCTGCGGAGGCTTCCTGACCCAATTTTCAGGGAACTTTTCCAGCCCATTCTACCCTAGGAACTATCCCAACAACGCCAAGTGTGTGTGGGACATTGAAGTTCAAAACAACTACCGGGTGACTGTGGTCTTCAGAGATGTCCAGTAAGTGTGTGCGGTGGTGGGAGGAGATGTGTGGTCAGCCCCTTGCAGACATTTTAGAAGGAGATAGCTGGCACTTCAGGAGAGATGTTTGCCCACTGCACTTTTTCTTCTATGGGTTCCATTTTCGACCGAGTGTAGAAGCAGCCAAGGAGGGGACGCCAGGACCAGAGTCCTGGGTCAAGTTGCAGGTCTGTCACCTCTTTGCTGTGTAACCTCAGGAAGTCATTTAACTCTCCTGAGCCTCAAAAGAGGAGACTATAATACCCGCTTCCCTCCCCTCCTGGTTCCTGGGAAAGTCACAAGAGAAATATGTGAAAATACTTGGGAAATGTTACCCAACAGGAGGGATTATTGTTAGAAGTAGTAATAACAGAACGAATCCTATTAACAACCACACTAGCTTTTCTGAACTCGTTTCTCTCTACTCCCTCTTTCTCTGGGGAGTGGTTTCGGGCAGAAGAGGAAAAATTCTTGTGGCAGATCTTAGGTTATCTGTTCCTCATCCAATGAAGGGTGGGGATCCTTGTTTTAATCAGAGGAGACAGCATCAGAACCACCAGAATATATGATCGTCTCAAGGGGGAGGGCTGACCACACTGAGACACCAGTAGCTTGTAGAGTCCTAGGAAAGGGGTGCTGTCATTTTTTCTCTAATAGTCACCACTAAACAAAGTAGTTTTTTCTCTTGATTTCTGGTTGCAGTGGCCTGGGAGGTTTTGCCTTGGAAGTTCATGTCAGGTTTTGCAAAAGATGTGATGTTATTTTAATCTCTTCATCATTACAATTCATTTGGGGGATTGTACTTAAAGCTCATGAAATTCTACAGGGGAAGGTTGACCATGACTAGTTCTGAGCCAGCATCTCAATAACAATGACCACCATTTATGGCATTTTTATGAAGCATTTTTCCATCTATTATACTGTTAGAGCCTCATGACAGCTCTCTTCAGTATACTTGCATTGGGAGATTTCACCTTTGCAAATAAAAAATCTGAGCTGCAGAGAGCTTATCTGACTTGCCCAATATATATTTGTTCAATTATTTGTTTTTGTTGCTATGAATTCATGGATTAAAAAAAAAATTATATGGGAAACTGGGGTCTTTTTGATCAAAGAAAATGTCGAAGGTGGGATGTCATTCTTTCTTACATGATGTAAAGGGCTGTCAGGAGAGGAGCTGTAGATTTCATACGCATGACCCCAAAAGGCAGGACTAAGACTGATGTATGGAGGTCATGGGAGGATGAACCTCCACTGGATTTAAGAAAGTCTAACGAACTGGTGGTTACCAGTGGGGAGAGGGTTTGGGGGAGGGGCACTCTTGGGGTAGGGGATGAAAAGGTACAAACTATGATGTAGAAAACAAGTACAAGGCTCTACGGTGTCAATACAGCCCAGGGAGGATAGCCAATATTTTTTAAATAAGTATAAATGGAGTATAGCCTTTAAACATTGGAATCACTATATTTACACCAGTAACTTGTGTAATATTGCACATCGACTGTACTCCGGTAAAAAAAAGAAAGTCTATTCCTTTTGATAATTAATTTTGTCGGAGTTTCTGGCTTAGAGGTATAACACCTCTGAGCGGCGACATCAAATCCTGGTTGAAAGTGAAGCCAGACTGTGCGTTCCGTCTCTGCAGGCTGGAAGGCGGCTGTAACTACGACTACATTGAAGTGTATGACGGCCCCCACCACAGTTCCCCGCTGCTCTCCCGGGTTTGTGACGGGGCAAGGGGCTCCTTCACCTCATCGTCCAACTTCATGTCCATTCGCTTCGTCAGCGACTTCTCCATCACCAAGAGAGGGTTCTCGGCCGAATATTACTCCAGTCTCTCCAATGGGAACACGAGTAAGTCCCCGCTCACCCGTGGTGGCGCCTCTGAGTGCCTTCGGCGGCTCAGCCATCCTGCAGCTGTGGAAGGAGAAACGAGAGCTACCCCATCAGGTCACCAAGGCTTGGTGTGGGGCAGAAGGGGGCCAAGAGCAAGGGGTCTGGGAACCCGGCTGCCCAGGACTGGCCGATGGGTGGCAGGTTGGCCTTTCTGTGGTCGGCAGACGCGAAGTAGAAGGGGGCAAGAGGACGCTGTCGTAAGACAGTGAGATGTCAGTGCCAAGGGCAGGGGGACCACCTGGCTTGAGACCTTGTGGCCTTCCCAGAGTGTGGGACACTGTGACCTTGTCCTGAGACCTAGAACGTCTGGCTGACTCCTGAAAGTGGTCTGAGCTGCTCTCTCAGCCACGTTCAGCAGAGGCTGGCGGCCTCGGGTGGATCTGTTAAATGGCCTGATGTACAGATTGACCAGGGGCCAGGCAAGGAGATGTGCTGGCTCTCTTTGCAGTCAGGATTTTAAGCACTGACCTGCCCTTAGCTGCAGGACCTATATTAAGTCCATAGCTAAGGATGCTAACTTCCCAACACCCCTGCAAGTTGCCCCAAGTGTTACTCTGTGTGTGTTAGTCACTCAGTCATGTCTGACTCTTTGCAATGCCGGGGACTGTAGCTCATCAGACTCCTCTGTCCATGGAATTCTCCAGGCAAGAACACTGAAGTGGGTTGCCATTCCCTTCTCCAGGGGATCTTCCCAGTCAGTGATCAAACCTGGGTCTTCCGCATTGCGGGCAGATTCTTCACCATCTGAGCCACCAGCAAAGCCCAAGTGCTATCCTACTAAAAAGATAAACGGCAACCTGGCAAAAACATTTTGTTGTTTTACATCTTGCCTGCATTTCTCCATCAGAGGAATCCTAGTCCCCATGCCCTCATAGGAGTCTCAGGAGAATGGAACTGACTTGAGCCCCAGGGCATCTGCGGAGGGGTGGTGAGCTGTGTCCACAGGAAGACCACGTGCCAGCCATCTCAGTCTTTTTCTGTGGGCTTAGCGGGGGTGCGCTGACTGACTGCACTGTCTGCCTTTGGCCCCCAGAGCTGCTTTGCCTGCAAAATCACATGCAAGCCAGAGTGAGGACGAGCTATCTCCAATCCTTGGGCTACTCTGCCATGGACCTCGCCATTCCCGGCTCAGACAGAAACTACCAGTGTCAGCCCCAGATTACGTCGAGCCAGGTGACATTCACGATTCCCTACTCTGGCTGTGGCACCAGCCAGCAGGTAAGTCTGGAGCTTCCCCCGCCTTCCTGCTGAGCAAGCTTTCTTAGTGACACGTGCTCTGCTTTGGGAATCCTGGGGACCCAGAAAATATAACTGTGGTATAACCAGAACTTAATCTGGGTGAGGCTATAAATGCATTCCTTGGTGTCACGATGTGGCTGCAGCCACGTTCAAACAGAGAAAGAAGGCAGGTCAGCGGGGAGTTTTTCCCACAGTGTCCAGCAGAGAGGGTGCCTGGCAGGCTGCCATCAGGTCAGCAAGAACAGTAGCAGCTCCCAGGGGCAGTTGCAGGGTTTGAAGGGCCTGGAGCTTATATAGGTTGAGGTTGGGGTGGGTGAGAGGGACGGGCGCCTCCTTCATGGAAAGAACGCAAGCATATCTTACTTTTAGAAATCTTACAAAAACACACGGTGGTGCCAGCGCATTGCTGAAACCCTGGAAGGACCTGCGCATGGGGTCGGGGGTGGGGGTGGGGGTGCTGATGCCTACACTTGATTGTTGTTTAGTTGCAAAGTCATGTCCAATTCTTTTGCGACCCCATGGACTGTAGCCCACCAGGCTCCTCTGTCCACGGGATTCTCCAGGCAAGAATATTGGAGTGGGTTGCCATTTCCCTCTCCGGGATATCTTCCTGATCCAAGCATCAAACCTAGACAGATGCTTTTTGCTACTGGGCCACCAGGGAAGCCCTTGAGCTTCATTAGCTTCACAATAATACACTGGCCTCTGCAGGTGTCCCTAGTTGAGCTGTCACCACCTAGGGTGACCGGCTATCTTGGCTGACTTGGGACTTAGCAGATTTTAGCGAGAAGTCCTAAGTCCCGGGAAACTCCTCGATCCTGTCACCCTACAAGTGACAGACCCCAAGATTATTCCGTGTCAAACTCCCCGAGTTCCCCAGCAACAAGATACACGCCTCCCCTCACTGTCATCCTGCTTGAAAAGCAGGGAGACTGGGCCTTGAGGAGTCAAGCAGGTTGCCCAAGGCTCCTTAACCAGGCAGGTAGTGGCAGGGCTGACGTCAGACTCTGAGAATCTCAAAACTGTGGCGCTGAGTGAGACAAAGCGGGCATGCCAGATCCCCTGCCCTGTGATTCCATTTCTGTGAAGCTTAGAAATGGAGAGTCAGTGTGTGATGGGCCAATCTGGTGGGGGCGCTGCCTGCAAAGGGCAGATGGAGCTCTGGGATTGTGAGAACATCGGGCCTCTTACTGCCAGAACTCACTCAACGGCACTCTTAGAGTTGTTGCACTTACTTTATGCAAATTTATTTCAAACTCTCCATTCTAGTTCTGAATTTTTGACCACCACCTAAGTAACCACTTCCAGATCTTTTCTGTCAGGAAACAGACACAGAGGAAATACTTTTAATAGGTTTGCTGTTGTTGCTTAGTCACTGGGTCTTGTCCGATTCTTTGGTGACCCCATGGACTGTAGCCCGCCAGGCTCCTCTGTCCATGGGATTTCCCAGGCAAGTATACTGGAGTGGGTTGCCATTTCCTACTCTAGGGGATCTTCTTGACCCAGGGATCCAACCTGCGCCTCCAGCATTTGCAGGCGGATTCTGTATCACTGAGCCACATAGAAAGTTTTTTATTAGGTTTTGGTCTGCAGCAAATATACAGCATGAAATGCTCAAATGTGCACAGTGTGTGTGACACACGCAATCAGAGGCTTTGTCAGCCACCAACGACATTCTGCCCATTTGCTGTGTGCCAGGCAAGGGGCCACGAGGGCGCTGTGCCTGATCTGTTCCAGTCACGAGGGACAGTGACAGATGCAAGGGACACTCGATTAGCCAACCAGATGAGCCCAAGTGTCTGCAGTCACCACTGTGGTCACCCAGCTGCCATCGGATCTCCTTCGTGGAGGACCTGAGTGGGTCATGAAGGCGCCAAATGCAGAGAAGTGTACAGATGAGTCATGCCCTGCAAACACTCTAGTCCACCTGGCTTATACATTTTGCAAATCAGTCATGTTGGATTCTGGTTTGTCCTGAGTTTAGTCAGTGGGAGTCAGTCCACCACAGGCAACCACCCCTCCTGGCTCCAAATGTTCAGCCTAGAGCCTCTGATGTCTAGGCCATTCCATCTGTGTTCCTTCATCTCTGTTAGGAGATGCCAAAGCCACAGGCCAGCCCTGGTCTTCTAACCTGGATGGTCGTGGGCCGCGTAGGTTAATTCTTATTTCTCTGCTTATTTAAATACCTGTAACCTCTACAAACCATGCCTCCAGGGCAGGCCCACGTTTCATTCATCTTTGCCACTGCCAACGCCCCTTGGTGCAGAGCCTAAGCCTTTATAATCAGATTACTAATGGCTAGTTTGCGTGCCAGACACCGAACTCCAACGAGACTTTCAAAATTCTTGAGACAACGTTTATTCCCATTTAATCAAGAGGAAACAGAGGCTTACAGAGGTTAAGCCACTTGCTCAAGGCCATGTGGTCATGAGCTGCAGAGCCAAGATTCAAAGGCAGGATGGCGTGATCCATAGCTGGAACTTTCTGCATCTCCTCCAGGTGCCCTGTTTAGCTGGTGTCGGACAAATGTTGGGTGCACAGGACAGACGCCACGTGGAAGAGGCCAGGACAGCCTGCCCTTCCCATCCATCCTACGCCTTGCATACTGTGGGCGTGCGTGCTCAGTCGCTCAGCCAGGTCCGACTCTTTGTTACCCTTGGACTGCAGCCCACCAGGCTCTTCCATCCATGGGATTTCTCAGGCAAAAATACTGGAGTAGGTTGCCATGTTGTCTTCCAGGGGATCTTCCCAACTCAGGGATCGAACCCACCTCTCTTGAACCTCCTGCATTGGCAGGTGGGTTCCTTACCCCTAGCACCACCTGGGCAGATGTCTAATAATGAATTTTAATTTAAAATCAGAACTGCTTCTTATGATCAAAACTAAACCTGCATGCCACGTGGCTTGGTGTGCATTCAGAATCTAGCTTGACCATGGAAACCAGAGACAAATGTGGATTCAAACACACTTTCATGTGAATGTACAAATTGAAGACACTTCAGTTCATCTTTGAAGGAGTAACAAGATGGCAACATTTATGTGGTTTATTGTGCTAATCACTGGCACTCCAATATAAAGTTCCCCATTTTTTAAAAGAAAATATAAATATAGCGTACTTCCCATGGAGGCTTCCCTGGTAGCTCAGGTGGTAAAGAATCTGCCTGTAATGTAGGAGACCGAGGTTCAACCCTTGGGTCCAGAAGATTCCCTGGAGAAGGGAATGGCTACCCACTCCAGTATTCTTGCACAGAGAATCCCATGGACAAGAGGAGTCTGGCGGGCTATAGTCCATGTGGTCGCAAACAGTCAGACACAGCTGAGGGAGTAACACTTTCCATGGAGGACTGGAAGGCATAGAGCCCATTTTAGGTCCTTCTCCAGACCTGAGGCCAAAGTGCAGGCTCTGGCATCCCCTGCAGGCCAGAGCCTCCCTCTGACAGGAGAAAAGGGAAACCAAGGTCAGAGAAGAGGCAAGGTTCCCCTAGTGGCAAAATCACTTTAGTTACTTGTTAAACTTTTCTCTTTTCACATGTCTTTCTGGGACTAACTCAGAGCTGAGCTCTGCACTTCCGCACGGAGTGAAAGCCTCTGCAACACACGCTGTTTTAAAGAATAATTACATTTAGGCTGTGCAAGTGCTGGCTTCAGAAGGGAACTTGTCTAATCTCCCAAATGGCCAGGAATGCACTTTTGCTCCTCACAGTGTATATGACTAACTGTCACTCAACAACTTACTTTTTTTTTTGACTGGGCCACAGGGCATGTGGGATCTTAATTCCTTGACTAGGGATTGAACCTTGAACCTTCGCCCCCTGCATTGGAAGCACAGAGTCTTAACCACTGGACCACCAGGGAAGTCTCCCTTCCATTTTTTTTTTTTTTTTTTAAAGAGTAAGGTTGTCTTAAGTTTTACAAGGACTTCTATCTAGGCCACTATTTTTGTGTCCATTCCTGCAGCTGGTGCCCATAGCTGGTGGGAACTCGTACCAGGCAAAGATGAGTTTGCTTCTGACCATCACAGCTCTCCCCAGTCTCCACCTGGGAATGCTCCTCTTGTGCTCACCTCACCTGCAGCCAGAGGATCATAACCATGTGGCTTCCAGGGGCACTTGTTCACCTGTGACCTTTTGGCCATTTGGGCTTGCTACTGCCAGCTCCATCCTTCTTTCATCACAGTACTTTTGCTGGGCTTCTGTGCCCCGGACCTTTCCTCCATTCCAAGAATTTTTATTGATGCTAATGATGCTATCATCAACACTACCAAGCCCTGGGAAAACAGAGATGCTTAGACATCACCCTTTCCTTGAGACGCTCACAGACCATCAGGTTGTGAGACTCTCTTCCCTGGAGAGTTTGCTCTTACAAGACACAGGCACATCAAGCAGCATGAGAGACCAACAATCTTATGAGTTTGCTGCTTCCTGAAAGACGCAGTAGGAAATGGTGTTGTCGTTTGGGGAGTGGAGAGACAGAGTGTGATGGAAGTGCTCCTGCGTTGCCATGGCGCCCACCCTGTGGCCCCTGTGAGCCTCTGGGGAGGTTTCTGCCCCAGAGGTCAGTGACCTGCCGCGGCTATAACTCTGGATCTCTGNAGGTCAGTGACCTGCTGCGGCTATAACTCTGGATCTCTGTTGCTTCGGGCTCTGGCAGCTTCAGACTCCAAGCTGCAATAGCTGCATGCATCCCCACAGCACAGTGAAATCGAATCCTGCCAGCCGCCCCCTCCCTCATGACTGCCTCCCCTGATTTCTCCCAGCAAGACTGAGACCAAAACAGAACAACCCAAAGGGCCCCAAGCCATGGAGACAAAACTCGGCTTAGTCATACAGCAGGGGTAGGGGTCATCCGGACACACTCATCCTTCCATGAGCAGCAGCTCCCGGGAGGACCACCAACCTCGCGGTCCGTGTCATGAGGCAGAGGAAAGGGGAGGTGTGAAAGGAGGGAATCTTGCTGGGAAGTGTGTCCATCCCAGGTAAAGGTAGCCATGGAGACAGACACCTCCCATCTCTCTGAGGCTCTGGGAGCATTTTGCAGTCTGGCAGCATCACTTCAGTCTGCTCCTAATCCAAATCAGCAACGAGATGCTCTTCGTGGATGACATTGGCCTGATTCTGCTTTCCCTCCTGCCCCTCCCAGGTGGATAACGACACCATCATCTACTCCAACTTCCTCAAAGCGACTGCTTCAAGCGGCATCATCAACAGGAAGAGGGACCTCCAAATTCACTTCAGCTGCAAGATGCTCCGGAACACCTGGGTTAACACAATCTACGTTACTAACGACACCATCGAGGTTGAGAACATACAATACAGCAATTTTGACGTGAACATTACCTTTTACACATCCTCTTCATTCCTGTATCCGGTGACCAGCAGCCCATACTTTGTGGACCTAAACCAGAATTTGTACCTTCAGGCTGAAATCCTCCGTTCTAACGCCTCCCTCGCCTTATTTGTGGACACCTGTGTGGCATCACCGAATCCCAATGACTTTACATCTTTGACCTATGATCTCATCCGGAGCGGGTAAGGAGCATCTTCTGGGGGTGGACTTCGGCCTTTACCTGATAAACTCATGCCCCGCTAGCCCAGAGTGCAAGGAAGGCAGACTGGTCTCCGGTAGCTCAGGCTTCAGCAGCCAGGCTATCATTTCTGGGTATCTGGAGAACTCAGGGAGTCATCAGTTGGCGTCCAGCGGGTTAGCTATAAAGTATAATTAGACCAAGTGACTAAACTCCAGGCAAGCCTTGATATGGTTCCAAAGATATGCATGTAGCAGGAACAACATTGATTTTGAAGCAGACTGCGGTTGAGAAACCAGCTCAGCGCCATGCTGGCTGCATCACCCTGGATAGAAAAATCGCACCTCTCTGAGCCAGTTTCTTCAGCCATCAGATGAGCGTAGTGAAGCCCTTTTCACAGTCTGTTGGTTAAACGAGGGGTAGATGGGGCCGTGGACAAAGAGCCTGCCCAGCAGGTGGGCCACAGGAGGGGTGTGAAGGCAGCAGGGGGTCCCGTGGCCTCCATCCTCCCTGGAGGATGCACAGCACCTGGTCGGGTGTCGTGAGGAGCACAGCGCCTTGCTGAGAGCTCACGGAGACCCCTCTCCTCCTCCAGGTGTGTGAAGGACGAAACCTACCGATCCTACCACCAGCCCTCGTCCAACATCGTCCGCTTCAAGTTCAGTTCCTTCCACTTCCTGAACCGCTTCCCCTCCGTGTACCTGAAGTGCAAGATGATCGTGTGCAGGGCGTATGACCCCTTCTCCCGCTGCAACAGAGGCTGCCTCGTGAGGGCCAAGAGGGACGTGGGCTCCTACCAGGAGAAGGTGGACGTCGTCCTGGGACCCATCCAGCTGCAGCCCTCCCCCCGGAAGAGGAACCTGGGTAGGTGGCCACCCTCTCACCCCGCCATCTGCTGGGGCCCTGGGCCATGAGCCACAGGGACTCAGGCTGCTTCCGTGGGTGTCCTAGTTCCCCTTGAATAGGGCACCTGTGCTATATGACACGGAGTTGATACAGAGTTGAACTAGACCTGGTTCCCATCTTCTTCCAAGGGCTTCTGGGCTGTGGGGGGATGCATGTGTGGGGTTCCATCAAGACAGTTCTAATCCGGGACACAGAACACTTGACACCTTTATCCTGTGGGTTCTGAATACCAATCTCACACTCATCCATGAAACAAAAACATTTGATTTTGTCCTACCTCTTAGGACTGCAGAGAGGGTTACATAAAACACTGTTAGTTACACTGCTTTGGCCTCTGCCTGGTACAAGTCATTGGCTGCAAAGAACAGTGACTTTGTTACTATTACACTGTCATCATTGTTAACTTTAATGATCACGTTATTACCTATGATGATGACAAACTGTACCCTCGGGTCGTGACCTCACAGTCTGTGCAAAGCCGTGTAGACCCAGGCAGGACTGGTTTATTCTGACAGCTCCCAGCAGTTGACCCTGGAAAAGCCATGCCATTTTCTGCAACTGGAATGGGGAGCAGAGTTCCCCTGCTGTGCAGTTCTGTTGTGGGTGTGGATGAGGAAATGTTCTGCAGAGGGATTCCCACCATTTCTGGTCCAGGCTGGGCCAGGTCAACTAATGTGGTGGCATTAGTGATGGGGCAGCAGTAGCTGCCACAAACCCCCTGCAGACACAGGCTCCTCCTCACAGAGGTTCTATGACATCTCCGTCCCTCCCAGGGCCCAGACCCAGGCCCTCCCCTTGTCTGGCTGCTTCCAGGCTCTCCCCTCATATTTTCAGCATTCCGGGCATCTTTGTTGTTTCTGTTCAGGTGCTCAGCCATGTCTGACTCTCTGTGATGCCATGGACCGCAGAATGTCAGGCACTGTCCTTCTCTATTTCCCAGAGCTTGCTCAAGCTCATGTCCACTGAGCCAGTGATGCCATCCAACCATCTCGTCCTCTCCTCCTGCATCCAATCTTTCCCAGCATCAGGGTCTTTTCCAATGAGCTGGCCCTTCGCATCAGGAGGCCAAAGTATTGGAGCTTCAGCTTCAGCATCAGTCCTTCCAGTGAACACCCAGGGTTGATTTCCTTTAGGGTGGACTGGTGTGATCTTTGGAAGATCATCTCTGGAAGGTCTATTATGTGCCAGGAGATAGAACTAAATAGATCAAAACCCCTGCAGCTCCAGCAGGAGACACAACTCCATCGCAGGTCACCCGCTGGGGTGGATGGAGCTACAGAGAGAATGAAGGCGGGGCAGGGACTGGGCAAAGGGTGCCAATGGGGCACTGCTCCTGTCTCTCCTCTCTCTCTATTCCCACTGACAAGGCAGTAGCTTAAGGCCTGTGTCTCGCCCTCTTGCTGGGACCTTTGTAGCCATTCCCAGATGGGGTCAAATGCCCCAACTCCCTCCCTTCACATCCATTAAGAGCCTTCAGCCAGAGAGACTATGCCAAGCCATCTCTGCCCTTCTGTTTAGCATTCTTCGCTGCTTCTGGGAGCTGACAAGACACTGTGAAATCTCCCAGGGCTGACACTCAGCTGCCCTTCTGGGGGGAATCTGGCCTCAGTTTCCTGAAAAGCACTCCTCTCTCCCTTTATTTTTTTCCCTCCCACCAAATGGTTTTTTAAAAATTTTTTCCCAGCCACCAAAATCAGATGGTTCTGATTGCCATCACCCTGCCCTGGGAGCCCCCCCCACCCCACCCTCACTTGTCTCCCCTTCTCCTTCCCTGCTGGGCTCATCCTGACCCCGAGTCTTCTCTCCTTCCCAGACCGGCAGGTGGTGGGCACAGAGGAGGAGACGAGCACCCACGGGAGCTACCACACTGCCACCGTGTTTGTCGGAGTCCTCGTGGTCATGGTCGTGGCCGTGGCAGCCTTCGCACTGGGGCGGAGAGTGCTGGCGGCCCGTGCCCAGCCTCCGAGCACTAGGATGTGAAGCAGGAGGATGCGCGGTGCTCAGACCCAAGTCCCTGTGCTCTGGAGCCGAGTGAGGAGGGAGGACACCAGTGTCCAGAGCTTGCTACCCAGACCACACAACTGGGTTAAACCCTGGCCTGGTGCATGGTGGGGGTGGACGGAGGAGGGGGGTGAGAAAGATGAGAGCAGGTTTTCCCGAAACACAGGCTCCGCGCAGGGACAAAATGTCAGGCAAGCAGGTCGGGGACCTAAAAATCCCGCCTGCAGCTGGACGCTTACACACTAGGAGCACTTGTGGATAGAATTTCTTTTCTGACCTTTTAGGAACCAGATTCTTTGGCCTGGGGTGTATATATCTTGGTCTTTCCTTGTTATAGGGCAAGTTGAATAAAGAACTTTTTTCAGAGCAAGTGTCGGATTGGTCCCTCGTTTCCGGGGCTGCACCTAGCATGGACTTCTTCGTGTTTGGTAGGTGGGTAGAGGGGCTCCAGCAGGAATGAGAATGGCCGTGGGGCTCTGCACTGTAGCGGCCCCAAGGCTGAGGTGACTGTGGAGCGAGCAGTGGACAGGTGGGGCCGACAGTTTCCCAGCCTTTTCCACCCACAGCCCATGGGGGTCTTCACAGGCAAGGTGGCTGTGAGTGGGCAGACTGCCACCCACCCCCACATCTGCCTGCCTCCCCTCCCAGGACCCATTACAGCCTCTATAGAAGGGCCTTGGGGACATTTCCTTCTTGCTATGAGTCTTGATGGAGCAGGTAATTGCCGGAGGCCGAGGCTGGCCTGAGGCCCTGGGGCAGCATCAAGCTGGGACTCTGGGTTGAGAGGGTGAAATGCCAGGAGCTCACAAGGGGTCACAAGACAGAAAGCAGCAGTGACCCTGGACATGTCCCCTTCCTCCGTTATGGCCTCCTGGGAGGTCCAAGAAGGACAGTGGATTTGGTGGAGGGTCAGGGAATACAAGAAGTGTATTTAAAGTGTACTTTAAAGTCTTTGTGAAGGCATTTCCCACCAGGCTGACAGCAGGCCAGGTTGACGCTGCGGCAGAGGGTTAGCCATGTGCCCAATAAAACCTCTGTCCTCTGTCCTTTGGCCAATGGATCCTCATTTAAATCACTCTTGTTTGGGAGGGGGCCACTCACCCCTGCTTTCCAGGGAACTTCTTGGCTTAGCACAGCTCTCCTGTGTCCTGAGAACACTCTCTGCCCCAACAAACTGGGAGGGTTAGTCAACCTAGACTTCTGGCGGCAGGGCTACAGGGGAGCTGGTGTCTAGGTTCTCATGACAACCACCAAAAGCAGACAGTAAGAAGATGGAGGCAGGAGACCGGGTCACAGTGACGAATTCAAGGTGGCTGCTACCTACCTTGGTCCCGGACACAGAGTTTGGGAGACCACCCTTGGCTCAGGTCATGGTCTGGTCATTTTCATGATTTTGGTCTCTAGGAGCCAAGAACAGATGGGTGAGAAAACTTGAGGTTTTGCTCTGGACGGGATCAAGACCCTGGGTTACAAAAGCATGTGGGCCTTTGTGGTGTATATGTGTGTCTCTGTGTGTGCCTGTGTGTGTACATCTAGGGTGGACTGAACAGTCTTCCAGCACCATTTGAGGATGTGGAGTCAGCATCGCTCATGTTCAGTCTCCAGCGTGATAGCACAGTGACATCTCCACCTGCAAGAGAAATGGAAAAAAGAGTCTCTAATTGAGAAGGGTCCCTGGTGGCTGGAGTCTCAGGACCCAGTTCTAACAGGAAGCCCGTTTCAGGAGGAGATTCCTGGAAGGGAGGCTAGTCCTGCTCTGACTTCTCTGTGGAGGGAAGGTGTTTGGGAGTTGTCCGCCTTTTCAGAAGGACCAGCTGGCATTTGCTAACAAGCTGTGTCCACAAAGCCCCCAGCGCTGAGCTCACCCTGGGCTGAGATATGCGGGGATGGAAAGCAGTCAGAGGAGGCCCAGGGCTCATCCCTGGACTTGTTCTCAGCTTATAACTGCATCTGTAATGTGTCCGGCTCTGTTCTCTAACACGGGGAAGCAGATGGACACCATTCCTGGAGATAAGGCTGCTGAACTGGAATCCACTTTAGCTTGAAGGGGAGGCAAAGTTTACTTTCACCCTCTCAGGGTTTTATGTGGCAGGGCCTGTGACTTCAGCTGACAGCAGACAACTCAACAGGAGAAAAGCAGACAAGCTTATTTAGTGCAAGTTTTAGGTGATGTGGGGGGAGACTTCATAAAAAATGAAAAGCCCCCAGATTGGGAAACCTACTTGCTTTTATATGTGGTTCAACAAAGAGAAGCAACTGTGGAAAAGTAATTACATCGTGTGGGGAGGATAAAATGGAACTATTTTATCACGATCTTTGTGTGTAGAATTCTCTGGGCTCAACTTTATGTCCTGATGATAAGAATGTTATTTCCTTCTGGCATAAAGGGGATGCATTTCAATGGCAACTTATTTCCTGCTTATAAGAAAAACAAAGGTCAGAGCATGCATGTGTGTGCATTGTTGTTTTTCTGGATTTGCCTTTTTTCCAAGTGCCTTTAAATCAAAATAGTCAATATGCCATATCAACATATTTTACAATGGGAAGTTCTGAATTCCTTTGGGAGTGAACATAAAACATGTTCAAGACTTTAAATAGGCTCAGTCGTTTTAAAACGAAGTCATTTCATATTTAGAATTACTCAGGAGCCTCTGGCTGACCTGGTACAGGCCATGGTTCACAGTCCTCACTGCCCCCAACTTCAGTTCTTACGAAGGTGACTTTCCACTCACTTTGAGAAACAGTCCTTGGCCTTTGGGTAAAAACCTCCCTGCAATTCAATACATGACTATATGGATAACATAGGGGAAAAAAATCAAAAGCTCACGTGGGTTCAAATAGAAGAGCAATGTTTCTAAGACCTGGAAACATTGATGAAACACTAATGGCTGGTGGGATGAAGCTCAGGGGTTACGTGGGAGCTGGGACCCCCTGTCTCTCCCACAAGCAGGACCTACTGGAAGGACCAGGAGCCAGCCAACCTCATGGGGACTGATCAGCATCAACGACCCATCAGCTAAGGGCTGCTGCTGCTGCTAAGTCACTTCAGTCGTGTCCGACTCTGTGCGACCCCATAGATGGCAGGCCACCAAGCTCCCCCGTCCCTGGGATTCTCCAGGCAAGAACACTGGAGTGGGTTGCCATTTCCTTCTCCAATGCATGAAGTTAAAAAGTGAAAGTGAAGTTGCCCAGTCATGTCCAACTCTTAGTGACCTCATGGACTGCAGCCTACGAGGCTCCTCCGTCCATGGGATTTTCCAGGCAAGAGTACTGGAGTGGGATACCATTGCCTTCTCCATCAGCTAAGGGAGGCTGGTGAAAATCTTCTGCTGGATCTGGGGCCCCACTTGGGAGGCAGAAGACAGACACAGCTGGTGCTCTTGGATCTCTGACCGGATCTCTACTAGAGCTGCCCTTTCCCAGTCTCTCTGCAGGAGGTTCAGTTGGTTCTGCTCTCACGGCCCAGGAAAGAGCCGTGTGGAGGTCACTGTAAAACTGCTGAGACAGGAGAGGAGAGTGTGGGGATGGAGGATGGGGACAGGGCAGAGGAAGAAAGACACAGAGATTCACAAAAACATCCCACTCCAAATGGACCTGTGAAACCAAATGACAACACATAAAATAGATGAAATGCTAAACATGTTGGCCAATGAAATCAACAACTGGAGCAGATATTCACTCCAGATTAGCTTGTTTAGGGAAACGTTTTAACAAGGTGAATTTTATATAACATAGGATGAACCATTTTAAAGTGTACTTCAGTGGAATTTGGTATAATCACCATGTTGGGCAACCACCACCTCTGTTAACTTGCAATGCATTTTCAGCAGCCCTAAATGAAGCCCCAGGCCCATAAATAGTCATCTCTCTCCCCCTCCATCCAACTGAAAGATTAACACTACCTTGAAACCACCAATCTTTTATGTCTTTATGGATTTACCTAGCATTCTAGATTAATTTTTTTAAGATTAATTTTTAAGAACACTCCTGCAAAGACTGTAATAGGAATCTTAAAAGTGACCAATGGTATCATTGAAAGCATAACTTCTGATATTGCTAAAAAATTATTTTGAAATAAAACTCATACAGGCACAAATTCTCAACAAAATCCTAGTATACTGAATCCAGAAATGTATAAAAAGAATTATGCACAGTCATGTGGGATCTATTATGAGTACACAAGTCTGGCTCAACATTCAAAATTCAATTATTGTAATCTAGCACATCCACTCAAGTATTCTTGCCCGGAAAATCCCATGGACGGAGGAACCTGGTAGGCTACAGTCCATAGGGTCGCAAAGAGTCGGACACAACTGAGTGACTTCACTTTCACTTTAGCATATCAATAAGGCAAAAAAGAAAAATCACATGATCAGAACAATATATGTGTGAAAACACTTGACAGAATTCAACTCATCCATCAGAAGTATTTAGAGTAAAATAGGAACAGAGGGAAACTTCCTCAACTTGTTAAAGAATATGTATAAAAACCCCACAGCTGGCATCATACTTACTGAGAAACAATACTTTCCCACAAATATATGGGTCAGAGCAAGTATATCCTCTCTTCTACTCATTTTCAGTATCATACTGACTACTGAAAAGTTTTGCTTCCAGTACACAGTAGTTAAAGAAAGTAAGTAAAAAACATTCAGATTGGTAAGGAAGATATAAACTTTGTTCACAGATGACATGATCACTTCTTAGATAATATGAAAGAATTGTTTAAAAAAAACTACTGGAAGTAATACATGATCATAGTAAGGTTGCAGAATAAGAAGTCAATTGCTTGCCTATATATTTGCAGATAAAAGTCAGTTGCTTGCCTCTATATTAGCAATGACAAGCAAAAAATTTGAAATAAAACCTATATAATTTACTTGAGAACCCCAAAATGAAATGCTTAGGTTTTAATCAAACAAAATTTTTTCATGATTTATATGAGAAAAACTACAAAACTCTGTTGAAAGAAATCAAAGGGCAGCTAAGTGAATGGAGAGACAATTCATATTCATGGCCAGGAAGACTCAATATTGTCAAGATCCCAAATTGAGCTACGAATTCAACGCAACTCCTTTTGAAATCCCAGCAAGTTATTTTGTGGGCATTGACAAGTTGATTGAAAACTTTGTTTGTGGAGGGAAATGACTCAAATAGATGAGAAATTATTGAAAGAGAAGAACAAAATTGGGAGACTGACACTATCTGACTTCAAAATTTACTGTAATGCTGCAGTTACCAAGACAGTATGATCAGCTCATACGGTGTAACTGAAAATAAAACCTCACTTCAAAAAACACAGAAGTCCTAATAGACATTTCTCCAAAGAAGACACACAGATGGCCAATAGGCACATGAAAAGAATCAATA